TTTTAATATCCAGCTGTTAACAACAAATCTGAACTTGTTCCTAGGAAAGTCCATTTGTGATGCCATAAAAAATTTTCAACATCAAGTAATATTGAACAATTAGTCTTTCATATGCCAGGAACTATCCAGTTGTGATAAAAATAGCTCTTAGAGTTCATGTATTTCAACCCCTTTTCTCAAATATATATACTTAAAGTATGTTAAGTGCTATGCTTTAAATTTTTCTGCTGTTTGTTTCTGCGCTAGTTGCATGACCTATGTAGATACTTCTCTTCAGTGTAAAGAACAGACTCAACTTCACTGTTAAATGTTTTACACTGTGAGCCATAAGGTCTGTTGTAGTTGGTCAACTCTGCTATTTTTATTGTAATTCAATTATGGCTGCAACATTTATAGGGAGTTTGCCTTTTAAGACAAAAACAATGTGCCTAGTATGATGTCTGTGTAAGTTACTTCTCAAGGCTGTAGAGAAGGAAAAGTTTCACCTTCAAGGAACTGTTTTTCCTCTTAAATAATAAAAGTTCTATGTTGTATCATCGAAGTATATCTTTTCTCCGGTTAACCCAGTTTATTTAGAAGGAGCCCTGGTAGTACAGCGGGGTAAGCATTGGGCAACTCCCAGCAAGATCCATGTTTCAAAACCAGCAGCCTTTCCGACAGAGCAACCTAAGCCTGTCTGCTCTCAGGAACCTTACACAAGGTCTACTTTGCCCTTATGGGGCTCCTGTACGTTAGAACTCTTGATGGCACTGGGTTTTGGTTTGGGTAGTTTACTGAAAGTACATGATACACAACGAGACTCATTCCATTTCTGAGCGATTAAGTAAATTGGATTAACAGTCTCACTAAGAACAACTTTAAAGGCTAACAACTCCCCCGATAATGTTTGCTGGCATCAGATAATTTATAAGATAGTAAAGAATTTCTAGGCTAGGATTTGAGGAAGGATTAAAATGCAGATGTTAAGCTGCACTTTTTTGAGCTCCTTTTTAACTGGAAACATTAACTTTTTTCTCATTTCCCTGCCATTGGGTCAATGCTGGCTCATAGTAAAATCCCGCACCCCCCACCCCACTCCCACCCCCATCCCCCGTAGGCTTGCAAGACTTTAACTGTTTACAGGAGGAAAAAGCCCAGTCTTTCTCCCAAGGAACTGTTGGTGGTTTTGAACTGCATCCCATGCAGATCGCAGTCCACCTGGTAAACACACCTCCACCAGGGCTCCTCTGCTAGAAATTTAAGACGGGCTTTGTAAGGGTGAGGCCAAAGCAAAAGTAAGTACTCCCTGGAAAAAGACAAGTCTCTTACAACCCCAAATAAGAATTGTTATAGAGCCAAGATTGCACAGGCAACTCAGCAGCCAATGACAATAGAGGTAGATGCCAAGAAACACAGTTTATTGAAGTTCACTTACTAGAAGTATATGCATGTGTGTGTATGGAGCCCTGGCAGCACAGTGATTACATGTGGGCTGTGATCAGCAAGGTAAGCAGTTTGAAATAAGCAGCCTCTCCTCAGACTGTTGGGGCGTTTTACTCTCGTAAACAGTACAGTCTCAAAAGCACATTGGGCAGTTCTACCCTGTCCTATGGGGTCACTATGAGTCGACATCAACTTGATAGCAGGAGGGGGTGGGGGAGTGGTGTGTGTGTGTGTGTGTGTGTGTGTGTGTGTGTGTTAGAGAGCTATTCTCATGTTTTGTGGAGATTAACCAAAAAGGAAAACAAGGCTGAGAATTTGAGGTAGTTGAAAGTATAAAACCATCCTGTAGGCATTCTAGAACTGAAATACTCATATAAAACTCAAACTCAACTGCCATTGAATCAATTCCAACTCATCACAACTCTATAGGGCAGAACAGAACTGCCCCTGTGGGTTTCTAAGACTAACTGTAGGAATAGAGTCACATCTTTCTCCCGAGTGGCTGCTGGTTTTGAATGTAGCAAATATTTGAATTGGTTAGCAGCCCAACATATAACCACTACACTGCCAGAGCTCCTGCAGTATTTATACAGTGGGCACTTCAGAAACGACCAGGCACTCCATGGGAAAAAGACAAGGCTAGGCCTGCTGCTCCAAACCTGTATAGCAGCGTTGCTGAACCTTGAAGTCTAAGCATTTTATTAACTGGGACGTAACAAGCTGCTATCACCTTTTTATCCACAAGAGGGAGAGCTTAGCCTTAGTAATAGTTTTACGTATTCCACCCCCCCTAGTTTCAATTTAGGTGAGTGACATTAACGAAAGTGGCAAAAAAAATAATACATATACTTAATGACATAGTTCTCAGTTTAACCCAATTTTTAAGTACTCTGCATTAAATTGAATTGGAAAACATATGGGGCAGTAGACAAAACCTCTATTATAATTGATTTACTTGGCGTTTATATTTTTAACTACATTTGTTGAATATTAGATGTTCTTGATGTTTCAAGATCGATATAACCTTTTTGGGAATTTTCTTTTCTTTTTTGCAAGTCAAATACTGATTTATCATGTCTTGCAAATAAATACATATAAAACTGTGTAACTCCTATTATTATTATGCGTGGATAAGCATATGTACAGTGTTTATACTTACTGCTAAGTAATTCTTTGGAACATATTAAATGCCTAAAATTTCACCAAGGAGCCACAACTCTCTTTCACACCTGAGATAGGTTCCTATGTGAAACATTCACTGTAGCAAATATCTCAAATGTTTAATGGTGAAACAAAGGTGGTTAAATAATTTTTGTGAAGTAATTATTTCATACCTCTCAAAACTTGCAAAAAGCTATGTGGTTTTTAAACTAATGAAATTTATAGCAGATTAAAGATGAAAAGTAAGCAACCCTCTCATCTCTATATCCCAAATACCATAATCTTTGTAAAAAGCATTTTAGGTGTGTTCTGCAGCATCTACCAAGAGAATTAGTCTGAGTGGAATGGAAATATTTTCAAAATCAAAAACGTCTGAAGGGCTTCAAAAAGTTTATAGGAAAATTCTTTTAATTCCACTTCTTCATGAATATTTTGAAGCCCCCTTGTATTTAAGTTTACATAATTCAAAATAATTGTTTTTAAATATATTTGCTGCTTCCTTAATTAGGTAGTACATCAGACTTAGCTATCAAGTATGTTATCACCTTGAAGTCTGCTTAAAGTGTTTTGTTTATGGGTAAGTACAGATGGAGATACAGTGTCATCTAAGAAGTGACCATGGCTATTTGGACGATGTCAGATCAGTTATGCCCTCATTTAATTGTAATGTGATGTATGTAGTGACATAATGTATGTCACATTCTTTGCGACTGAGAATGTGTCTTGAAGATTTCAGGTAGTTCGCATTTGAACACCTAAAATGAAATCATGAGTACACAAATTGACGTTTAATAGAAAACTGACACTTGTCGACCATAGATTTAATGTACTTAATTTAGAATACCTAGGACAACTAAAATACCTCTACATGTAAAATATCAGAGGCATCTACAAAGTTTTCACTTCTGTTTCATCACATCCTCCCTGTCTAGCTTCTTTTCCCTTACCAGGAAATATCAGGCTCCTCATGTCTTGGGCTGTCATGTCACATTGGTTTAGAACCAACAGTATGAGACAGCTCAGTCAAACATAAAAGAATGTAATGCATGAAACCTAAAATTTATTTTAATGTCGTATACATTTAGCACTTGTCATATTTTAATTCATATAATCAATGCAATGATTAGGAGATAAAAACCAGTTTAAAGACAAACAATATTGCTTGTAACTTTCCTTCACCAGATTTTCTAGCAAAGACATACAAAAAAAGTATTCCTTACTACTAATTATATTTAAACCTCTGCACATTATATAGGGGATCACCACAAAAACCAATTCTCAGAAATTAGATTGGAAACTTTATTTATAATAAGATCATTTAATACGGTACAGTTAATTGAGACAGATGGGGGAGGCAATGTTACTCATGAGGCATTTGTACAGAATACCCTAATTAAATACCTAATTTATATTATTCAATATATATCATCTATTGTATGCTTAAAGTTGTTCCCTTCTGTCTATAAAATCAATAATGACCATTAAAATGTTAACCCTATATTTCAGTGATAATGTGCAGCATGCATACTGGGAACTGAAGAAAGAAATGTCTAATTTACACCTGGTGACTCAAGTACAAGCCAAACTATTGAGAAAACTGAAAACCCCAACTGCAATTAAGAAAGGCAAGTCACTGCTGGAAACCACTGATCCCAGTCAAACTGTTTAGAGAGCAACTAGCTATAATAGCTTAGCAAAATCTCATCAAATGAGTTTGATAAACCAAAGTACATATACTGTGTTCCAAGCCAGCCCATGTTCTGCTTTGGCTTCAGTCTCACACTGGTCAGCTTCACACATAAAGGTGTTGCTGATGTGTTTTTTCTTTAATACTGTATTCTTTCCCCCTTGTGGCTTTTTTCTCAGTCAAGTGTTGCTTATGTGCATAAAGCTGAGGTGCTAAGTTTGCTCTAGTTGACCTTTTACCACAACTACTTTATATATTACAAAGGAAAAGGACACCAAATGCTACTTCATACCAGTGCTACAAAATACACCAAAGACCTAGCTTTTCAAACTGTTTTGAAGAGGTTATTTTGCTCATCAGACATTTACAGTCTTCATTGTTCTTTTCAAGCAACGGTAAATTTAGAAGAGAAACTAGGCTTTTTCCCATCCTCTTCAGCCAACAACAATTTTAATTGCTTTGCCTTCATATTTAACTGATTATCTGATTAAAACTCTTAAGCTTTGTGTTAACTAGTTTGGGCTAGTTAACTAATTGTGGCTAGTACAGCCAGAATGCTCCTTAGAGGCAAGGATGCTATGGACATGTAAGGAGTGACCAGTCTGGAGAAGGACATAATGCTTGATAAAGCAGAGGGGCCGAAAAAGAGGAAGGCCTTCAGTGAGACGGACTGACACAGTGGCTGGAACAATTGTGAGGATGGTGCAGGGCCAGGCAGTGTTTCATTCTCTTGTGCATAGGCTCCCTCTGGATCAGAACCGACTGGATGGCCCATAACAACAGTGGTTGTGGCTACTTTGCCAAAGCCATTTTTATACCTCAAAAGTTGTATAATAGAAATCTGAGTGCTCTAAAATTTGCTTTTTAAAGAAATGAATTTTTATTTAAAAAATAATGACCACCATCTAGTTGTGTTGGTCAATTGTCCTCAGAATTTTCACTCATAACAGGGAAATGTTATCTATTGAAAAGAAAAGACAATTCAGAATAGTGGATATAATCCTTTCAGTTTCTAGAGTTACTTATGAGTCAGGCAGCATAATGTATTTTAGCAGATCTTTACCTTCAGGTTACATCTGTCTTTAAATTTCCCGGTGATCAGGGATCTATTTTAAAGAGACCAATGGTAGAAATAAAACCTCTCGAGAGACATAGTAATTTTGCAGTTTTGGACCTCATCATTTGATTATGGAGTAAAGATAACTCCCAAAGAATGAAGGAAAAAATGCCTTTTCCATGCTTGAAAATAGCTCCGTCTTTTGTCCTTTCCTATCTGGTGAGTGATACATCTTCTAGTATTTTGCGCCATGAATTTCCTGAGCACCTTTTCACAGGCTTGAGGTCACCAATCCAAACCAGGGAGCTCCTTTTGAGCAGCAAAGCTAGATCCCTTCTTTCCCTAGCCTACATCCACCTTTGTCCAGTAGCTGAATACTGCCCTTTCCAACACCACCACCCCGCCTCTCAAGAAAAGGCAACGAGTTAATATTACATGGTTTGACATGTTTTTCCTAAAGCCAGAGTCAGGCTGTAGTAGTTGTACTTGACATCCTTCTTGATCTTAAAGTACATTTATCTTTTCAACCCTGGTAGGCTAAGCTGAATGGGGAAGAAAAGTTAATATCATTATGCTGGGTTATGTCTAAATTGATCTGGCATAATCTTTGTTTTCTAAAGCCATGTCTGTAAAAACACATTTTTTCCCCAGGTGACTTTTGACCTGAACAAAATATATATAACTAATTGAAATATTTATTTTAAATATTTTATTTAAACGATCCTTATCCAGTGAGTTTGCTTTTTGGCTTTTATCCATGGAAGTATTTGAATATATAATAGAACCTAAAACCTTTGCTGGGTCTTACCAATTCACAAATTATTTCTGAAAAAAACTTTTTTGGATAGCTGATGGATTTGAATAAAATCTTCTTCAAAAAAATATCTTCTTGTAGAAAAGATTTGAAGAAGTGTATTTAGCTTAAAAATATTAAAAGTTAAGACAGTTACTTTATTAAAAAATAAATCCCCACTGGCACATCAACAGTCCTTACATTTTCTCTGAACCACAAATAAAAGCCAAGAGGATAGGTTTTGATATTGTAACATTAGTTTTCAATTGTTAAATTCTCCATTCACTCTTATGTGGCTCTAAGATATGAATACTTGTATCCATTTTGCAAATGAAGGAAGCGACAGCAGCTAAGTGACTGACGTACCTGGTTAGTAAATAACTAGTCCCTAATTAGAACTCAGATTGTCTACTACCAAGTCACAGTGTTCCAGGTACCGCCTAACGTGAAACTATTAATATAAAATATTTACTTTTTAGTTCCAGAATTCCATCCAGTTAGTTTAACAATTACACATACCTTTACCTGCAAACTGACATCTCACTTTGGATTTGTTTCAGCCTGTACTCCAGTAGAGTGCATTGAAGACCTTGAGAGGGACAGAACGAAACTGCACTTGACGAAGTTTACTGCAACGTATAAAAGACATCAGCCCCTCTCACCAAATGGCAAAACGTTTTCTCATACCACATCTTCTCCCCTACCAGAAGAAGCAAAGATCTCACCACAGAAAGCAGCTCTCCAAGCATGGACAGATCATGAGAAAGCCATTCCTAGTGATGGCACATACTTTCAGGAACACAGCTCCTCTGGCAGAAATTCTCTGGAAGAGAATTCTTGGGTATTCCCAAGCCCACCTAAATCAAGTGAGGCAGCCTTTGGAGACCCTAGAAGCAAAAATGTGCCTTTACCTAACCTGCCACTGCTGCACTGCTTGGATCAGCATAACCAAACCTGCCTGTACAAGAATTAAATCTGAAAAGTTTTGATTTTGCCACAGATATCCTATACCTCCCTCAGTGATTCCCCTGAGAAATTACTGAACTGAAAGTGGACTGTGATTAAAATGTTAACATTTTCCGTATATATACATTTGTACATACTGTATTATAATTACACAATTAATTTTCTAGTATGAGAGAATGCCCTCTAGCTCCATAATGTCAAAGCAACAAGATGTATGCCACTAATAAATTATTGAAGGTGTTTAAAAAAATTTTTTTTTTTACCTTTGATTACAATTGTGAATTTCAGCCTTTCAGATAAGGAATGGAATTGATGTTTCTTGGACATGGATTTATAAAGCATGTGATACAAGTATACTACACAGGAAAATAACCAAGGATACCACTCCATGAAATTAAAACCATGTAAGTTACTTCAAGTTGTATAAAAGCATAAAGGGCAATGTGAGTAAATATTACAATAAAATATTTTAATGTCTAGGTATTCCATCTTGATATAACATTGTGTTTAAAATTTTAAATCACTTATTAATCACAATACTGTTAATAAAATTTTTTTAACTTGCAATTTGATTTCTGATACTTGAAATAACCTAATCATTGCGACCAGCATTGCCCGATAATTGAAAAACATGAATAGTAGTAGAGCCATTGTTTTATGAATGGATTATTATGAATCTATACATCCACTTAGAAGTAGAAAGAGCAACAAAGATTTCAGTCTATTGTCTGTCCCTTCAGGTCTACACTGAAAATCTAAATGTATGTATCTAGCTATCTAAGGTCATTTTACCCAAAGGAACTACAGCTGCTTAATAGAACATTTATGAACATTAAACTTTGTTTTGAAATGTAATATTTTTACCCATAGAAATGATTAATTAATTAGGTATTTTAATTCTAGAAACCAAATTTTGTGCAGTATTAATATAACATAAAGAAATTTCCCAAAACTTCCATTCTACATGGCCTATCATTTATAAATAAGGAAATAATAAAAATAGCTTCAGATGGAAATTTATAAGCAAACCTAAACTCCTGAGTGGAAGTATTATGAATATTAATAATATAATGTATTACTTGTTTCACATACATTTTGCCTGGGGATAAAGTGTTTCACGTAGGAGGCCTTTATTCTTTTTTATAGACAGTGTCATATATCTTGAACTCAAAAGAATATCTCAGATCTCTTCTATATTACTGAGTAGTAGCATACATACATACATAAACAATGTTCACTGTTCCACCAGATATTTTTGTCTTTCTATTATCTTACTCACTTACTCAAGCTTGTCTGTGATTAATGGAATTGGTATTAGATGCTGAAATTTATTCTGACCAATGAGCACAGCTGACTCAAGGGAGTACAATCTCTTGCCAAGTAATAGAACCAAACTCAATATGCATAAAACAAATGTAAGACTCCAGGCTTAGCTGCAGGAAGCAACTACCTGTGTAATAACGAAGCAGTAGAAACTGTTTCTCATGTGGCTGCATAGGCTGTATGGTACCTAATCTCTAATGTAGCTTACATGGTTTGCCTTTTTTAACACCAAATTGGAAATTTTCCTTTGTAAAGAAAGTCTTATGAGGTAATGGCTTAATTAATGTTTTGAACAATGCAACAGATTGTTTCATTAAAATAATTTTTGTTTGAAATGAAAGTTGATTTGAAATACCATCCTTGCTTATTTATTCCAGGGTCAACCACTAACTAAAATTGTTATTTGCTTATTTAATGCATATAATAGGCACTTGTCTTGCTAACTATAAACCAACTTCTTTTGAGTGGAAAAAAAAATTCCAACAAAATAATGATGGCTATCAAACAGGTATGCTTAGAAAGTCAGTGGTTAAATTTTCATGATCGTTTATAAAGTACTAAATAAACATGTGAGATGCTTAAGTACGAAAAGATTAACTGAAAGAAATTTTTACATTAAGAAATTTTTGATTGTATACTCTTAGGTAATGTGATTAAAGAACAAATGAGTAGTAGCCTATTGGTATTTATAATCTATTTAAAGTGAGAAATTGATGTGGACCGCTTCTGTACTAGCTGAGACTTGCTCCAAAGAAATTGCTTGAATACCTCTAGTTTTAAATTTTACTTTTATGGTGATCATTCAGTTCAGTACATCTATAACTCAACAGACGGACGAGAATGATAGCTATCAACATAAAGCCACATACTCCTTTTAACCCCTTGTTGGCTAAAATACTAGTTTTTTTTTAAATTGCATGTTTCTACTATGGTGCCGGCAAAAGGAAACCAAATTCACAAGTAGAGGAAGGATATACCTGTGTGTGAAACATATGAAGCAGAAATAAACTGGAGAAACTGAAGACTTCAAGTAGCTCAAGGACGAAAGCATGTACAGGAACAGTCTTACCCAGAAAGACTCCTTGGCTAAACTTGGTAGTAAAGCAGCAAGAAGATTGTGACTTATGAACAGAAAATAGGCAGAGGCACAAAGAAACAGGACATACCTGCTGCCTACACTTATAGTAGTGCAAGGGGAGGGGGAGAGGGGCTCTCAAAAAACTCGTAGATTCTATTGCCCTGTCTTTCCATTTTTTGACAAACTTTTTCAGTCCCCCTCAGGTGTATGGGCAGCCTGAAAGCTATGTTGAAGGTTTTATTTTTGACTGGGAGGCATGAATAAATTATGCTATGTAACCTAATTTGTCTAGGATCTAGAGGAAAGCTTTATCTACATAAGCAAATATTCCAAGGAAACTGAAAGTGGCCCCTGTTAATTTTAAAATAATTATTTTCCTTTGGGTCATTAAAAACAAGAATTGCGTCCTATGTTCTAGGAAGTCCCTCAGTGTGAGAAGGCCAGCAGTGCAGACTGCAGTGCCCTGCACGACTTGAAATCTCAGGTGCTGTCCGAGCGCTCCTTTTCTTGCTCTTTTTGCTCAGGGGAAAACATGGCTTCTTTATGCTTCAAATGTGAGCAGGTTTTTTAATTACTAAAGAGTAAAATGTGGAACATGAGCATCGGTAGGTCTATTGGGGTCCTACTGCTTTAATGTAGCTAAGTTCTTTATAAAAATTTTAAAAACCTGTTTCATGCGTTTGGAACCAAAGTTAAATCTTGCCCCAGTATGCAGCAATATTGAAACTGGTTAAAAGCAGTTACAGTAGCTTATGGTGAGGAACTAATGGGGGAAAGAGCATCTCTAAATTAATTGCATTGAGAGGAATTTGCTAACTCCTGAGACCTTTACTGTGCTACAAATGGTAATTCAAGCTTATAAAGAAAACCTTTTAAAATGAAAGGTCAGACTTTAGTAGCCAACAGGTCAAGGAACATCATAATACAAAGATTATTATCAACACATGGACACATCTAATCTGTGGTTTCTAGATCAGGCATTACTACACAGTTTAAGGTAACAAAGGACCAAACAAAAAATAAATAAACTTTGCCTGTGGTGACCCTAGAGGACTGTCCCCCATGAGTTTCTGGGACTGTAACCCTTTCACAAGAGTAGAAAGCCTCTCTTCTCTTCCTCGGAGTGGCTGGTGGGTTCAAATTGCTGATCTTGTAGCTAGCAGCCCAGTGCGTAACCACTATGTCACCAGGGTTCCTTAAGGATGGAAGCATGTAAAGCAATAATCCGATGGACAGCTGAAGAGCATTTTCTATGTCCAACACAATTTACCTGTACTATTCAGTAAGCCGTCTACTGTGAGACTCCTAATCCATGGTTGCCTAGCTAAAACATGATTCTAACCATTTTGCCATGCTGTCTAGTTATTAGTACCTTTGAAGGCTGTCCACTACTGTTTTCTTTGAATCATATAAACTTTTGGTTTATATGATTGGCCTGTGCCAATAGCTTAAAGTAAGCAATAACCACCCTGAGTGGTGCTGGAATGATACGGGAGGATGCAGAAGCAGGTGCCTACACTTTATCCTGGATTAAGGGCTATAGCACAAATGTTTTTAATTGCCAGGAGGGCAGTCTTATTTTTTTTTTTTCCCTCTTCCCCCTCTCTGAAAAGGAGGTGATGGGGCAATACATTTTGGAACCTATGGCTCGTACCAAGGAGAATAATAAAAGATCCACTTGGAACTTTAAATTCAGCATCACTGTTGTAGAACTATGGTCCTGAGGGGGAAAATTACTAAAAATTCAGAGTGATCAGAAAACCATATCACATTTCACTAATTACTGCTAGCATATTAATAAGCTGGAACTTTGATATTTCAAAAATCGAAAATTTTTTATTTCCATAATTTTGGATAAAGCAAAAGCATTTCCTTATCTTAGACTGCAATAATTCAATTGACTGTACCTTCTGTAAATATTAGAATCCCTGAATTTCATTTAAATATTTGCCTACATGCTTGTAGGAAGCTTCTGTAGCCTTTTCTTGGCAGGAACTCCAGTTTTCCTGAATTCTTCTCTTTCTTGCAGGTACTCCATTTTGCACTCTTCATAAAAGGCTGGATCCGTATAGCTGTAAAAGGGGGGCCCAGAAAAAAACCAAAACTCCCTTTAAAATGAATTGATAACATTTCAAGCTTTCAATATAACCTCGCTTTAATCAATCAAGCTCAGTCTTTAAAATTAGACTTTAAGCATTGATTGTAAATTCATTGTAAACCATAGGCAGCTACCATAATGAAGGAGGCAGGCAGGAGAGGGCTAATAGTTCTTTCCTTCTAGCACTGTTCAGCACAGCCCCTGGCCTTCAGGAGCATAAGGCATTGGGAGGCATACAAGTAAAATTTACATTACAAAAGGTATATAAAACACTATGCTCAAGGTACAGTCCAGGAAACCATGGAATCATGGGAAAGGAATAGTAGATGGAGGAAAAGCTGTATTTTGAAAGTCTTAAGTAAATCCATGTAGAAAGCAGAGAAGGAAAGTGCAAAGATGAGAGAAAACTCTGATCCGTAAAGAACTGCCAAGTAAATGGGTACTTGCAACCTCACACTTAACTGGAATTGACATGGCTTAAGTTATCAGGAGTCATTTATGCCACAGTAAGAAATTTAAATCTACCTTGAGGAAGACAAGAGGCTATAAACAGCAACTCTACGCCCAAGTTGACAGTAGGTGGCAGATAGACTGCAAATTGGGCAACAGCATTGAAAGCAGGATGTCCAATAAACTGCAGTTTTCCCGCAAAGAAAGGATAAGGGCCTGGGCCAAGGAAGGGGCAGTAGGAAATGGATCTGAGGGACATTTTAGGAAGCAAAATCAATAGGAAATAGCCAATTAGGGATGCCAGACAAGAAAGAACTTTGTAATTTACAAAGACTTGATGTAGCAGGAAGAGAGAAGTTGAGTTCCTCTTGGGACCTGATGAGAGCCACAGAGCAATGCCACAGCTATAGGGAGTAAGAGATTCCCGGGGTACAAATCAAACTTGCTTAGATTTACGAATGAGAGGAGAATCCAGGGATAGATCAACATAAAAAGTAAGCTAAGTTAGAAAAGTCTGAAAAACAGGTAGACATGTTTAGGAATGAGGAAAGAGCATTTTCATGGAAGCCAGATAGAAAAGAATTTTAGGAAAGGGCATTTAGGAAATTATTCCTATCCTTACAAGGAAAAAAACAATGAAGATCATCAATTCTTAGATCTACCATAATACTGAAGTTATATAAAGGGAGTCACCGCCCCAAAAGCAGAGCCAGACAGGCGGATAAGAGAACCTACCGCATTGAATAAATTATGGTATTGGGTGCCATCGAGTCGGTTCTGGCTGATAGCGACCTTATGTACAACAGAAGGAGACATGGCCCGGTTCTGTGCCAGCCGCACAACTTGTTATGTTTGAGCTCATTGCTGCAGCCACTGTCAGTCTGCTTTGTTGAAGGCCTTCCTCCTTTTCGCTGTTTCTACCAAGTATGATGTCCTTTCCCAGGGACTGGTCTCTCCTGACACGTCCATAATATGTGAGATACAAGTCTTGCCATCCTTCTTTCTTTTTTTTTTTTGTGCCATCCTTATTTCTAAGGAGCATTTTGGCTGTCCTTCTAGGACAGTCCATGGTACTTTCAACATTCTTTGCCAGCACCACAATTCAAATGCATCAATTCTTTACTCTTATTTAATGTTCAACCTTTACATACATATGAGGCAACTGAAAATAACATGGCTTACTTGGGTCAGGTGCACCCTTAAGAAACCTTACTTTGCAATACTTTAAAGAGGTCTTGTGCAGATTTATCTAATGCAATGGGTCATTTGAGCTCTTGACTTCCATGAGCACTGATTGTGGATCCAAGTACGATGAAATCCTTGACAACTTCAATCTGTTATCCATTTATCATGATACCTATTGGTCCAGTTGTGAGAATTTTGGTTTCTTTATATTAAGTTGTAATTCACATGGAAGGCTGCAATCTTTATCAGCAAGAGAAACAATTGCTGGAATTAGATTATCTTGGAAAATAAAAACTCTTAGAGGGCCATTCTTATGGGGCCTCCATGTTTTTAAAAGTCTTACTTTCAGAGCTCCATCAGCTTCTCACTGTAAATCGGAAATTTCCTTTGTCTCCTTAGCAATGGGAGGAAAAAGGAAAATATTTTGAAACAGCTCTGTTCTCAAAATTGGCCTTCCTTTAAGGGAAATTACGTGGTTATTTCCACCACCACCCTTCCCAAATTTTTTTAAAAGCAGAAAAACACACAGTCTCAAAAAATAAGGTAAACATCCAAACAAACCCCAAATGTAGCAAAGATTTTAGAATTGCCAGGACTCGGTATTTTAAAGATTAGGATTAATAGACTAAGGGGTACAATGACCAGACAAAATGCAAGAATAGATGGGTACTGTAAGCAGAGAGAAAGAATCAAAAAGAAAGCTGTTAAGTCAAAAACATTGGTATATTGATAATACAGCTGAGGAAATGAATGAGCTATGAACTTCCCAAACTGAAAGGCAGAGAGAAGAGCAAAACCACGGATATCTAAGAACTCTGGGACAGTTATGGAACACGTGGATTATGAGAAGTAGAAGGAACAAGGAAAAATTCAAAGTAATAATGACTGAAATTTCCCCTAACTGACAACAAAGTCAAACTACAGAGAAAAAGCATGCTAAATACCCCAAATTTTTCAACTAGCCAGATCACATTCAAACTGCAGGAAAAAATCAAATCTAGAAAAGAAGACACCTAACCTACAAAGGAACAAAGAAAATAATAAAATCATTTTTAAATGAATAAGAAGAGAGTAGAGTGAAATATTTAAAGTGTTGAAAGTAAAAACCACACACCTAGAATTCTGTGGCCATACTAAAATTATTTTCAAAAGTAGAGAAGAGAGTAAAGCAAAACATCAGACTAAAGCTAATGAAGATGACTGTCTGGGATGAACCGTAACTAGAGACAAGTCTTGGGTGTATCAACTTGATCCAGAGCAAGGACCAATCAAAACAATGGCTTCCAAGGAGACCTGCTGAGGGAGTTAAATTCAAGGCATAAAGTTGAGCTCTGATGGTTAAGGTGACTATCCTGAGAGTTTTTCTTGAAGAACAAAGGATGATTGCAGGGGCTATCATAAAGTTTAAGAAAACGGAAAAGTGTACTGGTGAGAAAAAAAAACAAGCAGGGAAGTTGCAGAGAGAAATTGTTTTGCATTACAACAATGGACCTGTTCGTTTTGGGGGGAGTCGCATTCTTTGAAAATTTCTTTGGGAAATCTTAGCCACCCTACAGCCTTCTTCTAGCCCCTTCACACTTTTTTTCCCCCTTTTAATTCTCCCAACTCAAAGAATACTGCAAGAAACACGATTTGAATCCCTTAAGGACACCAAAGTGCTGTCTTGCTGTGATGTAAATTGAAGAGTGCTGAATGCTTCAGGGAAGCTCGAAGGTGGAAGCATTCTTGCAGACGTGTGTAGACCTACACAGGACGGTCACGTTTTGATGTGCTTGTCTGGCACAGATGTCTGTGATTCTGTCTTGCCCTCATGTTCAGATTTCAGGTCAAATGAATTTATCTTTAACAACTCTCCATTTGCTTCCAGAAAATTTTCCAACCCTCTTTTTCCCTCCCCGCCTATCTTCCTTACAAAAAAACAAAACCAGCCTTACTTCTCTGCCCACTTACACACACCTCAGAATGGACTGGAGCTATTATTTTCTCCTGTTTCTAAAGAGATGATTAATATTTTTATTCAGATAGCAAATAAAAGCTAGCAAGTACAAATCAAAAGAAGAGTTAACACGTACTGCACGCTGACTATTACCAGGGCATTGTGGTAAATATGCTTATATGCATTACCTCACGATCTCTCCATGATGTATAATTACTCCACTTTACATTAAGAAACCTGCCCAGTGATCAAAGAAGAATACTTACTGAAGTATTCAGCAGTACTCTCTTCTTGTGTGAGTGATAAAACAGTAACGAAAACAAAGCATTCAGGAATTGTGTGTAATTTAAAAGTCAAGGAATTATAAGAAACTATCGGTGAATGTGATTTATAAGAATTAATTGTAATGTTAATTTGATTCACTCCAAAAAAATCTACTTTTACCTGATCTTGCTGTCAGGTAAGTGTTGGCTTGCTAACTGCAAGCTGGCAGTTCTCCCTCTGCCAAGGGGAGAGAGCCGAGGCTATCTGCCTCCATCCAGATTCACCACCTCAAAAATCCATGGGGTCACTATGATTGGGAATTGGTTTGTGGATTTGGATTATGTATGTTTATTGTGTTGTTTTAGTCTTTGATTGATTTACCTTAACTTTCCCAGGGGTTAAATTGCACTAATAAATCACAAGGCTGGAAAGGTCTTTTAGATTCTAAATCAGTATCTTTCCATGAAAAGAAATAAAAAGCTCAGCCGTGAGACCAATTACTATAATGTACAGAATTCTGAAACACCTCAATACGTAAAAAAACAACAACAATCTAATTAAAAGGTGGGCAGAACACCTGAGTAGACAATCCACAAAGGACAACACTCCAATGGCTCACAACACATGAGGAAATGCTCATGATCATACCCACCAGGGATATGCAAGAAAACAACAATGAGCTTTCTTCTTACACCCACAGTGAAAGCCAATTCAGGGGGAAAAAAAACAAAAACAATCCCAACAAAGCAGCCAAAGCTGGAGAGGGCTCAGAGAGATTGGAACTCTTATACACTGCTGGTGGGCTTATAAGTATGAACAACCATTGTGGAAAGTGATCTGACGATACCTAAAACAACTGGGAGTAGAAATACCATACGAATCAGCAATACCTCAGAAATAAGAGGCATTTGCTCTCCCATGGTCACTGTAGCGCATTGCACAATAGCACGAAACTGGAAACAGCCCAAATGCCCCACTGCGGAAAAAATGGATAAAGAAAACTCCGGTACATACACACAGTGGAATACTATGCATCCCTTAAAAATAGCAATGAAATCATGAAACACCTCATGACATGGAAGGACCTAGAAACTATTATGGTCAGTGAAGTTACTCAATCACAAAAGGACAAAGATGTATGAGTCCACTCTGCAAGGTAAACTCTAAGATGAAGGCAGAGCACTGCTCCCAGAGCATGTACCTTCTAATCCAGTCCCCGCAAGCACCGAGGCAGAGAGCCTGCCTAGTGTCCATGAGACATGTATGGCCCCCTCTCAATGTCCTGCCACAGAGGAGGCTTCGCCTCAGCAGGGGTCCGTTTTTTCAAGATGTGGAGAGAGGGAGATGATTTGGCTGCTGCCATACAAAATTGTGCTAAAGTCACCCCAATCCAACAGATCCTCCTACCTGAATGATAAGGAAAGCGTACTAGAAATTCAAGTCCTTATGGGGGAGGGGGGCACATATGTCTCAGAGGAGGCATTTATATCTCTGTTGGTAGGAAAATGGAGAGCCGCCTCCCGACAGGAAAATTGGCTCAACAATACTTATGTGGAGCCCAGAAAGAGAACATGCCTGGTGCTGGGTTCTTACGTGGGACACTTGATCTAGTTTCTTTGCAGCCCTTGGTGATCCAGTCCATGAGCCATAGTCTACTGGGACATTAAACTGTTCTTTTGAATCACACAACATCCTTCAAAGGGCACATCAGAAGGACTCGACGTAGAAACCCCACTCAGTGAACTGCGCTTTACTTCAAACTCACTTGTGGCCATTGGACTTAAGACTGAAACCCTCCAGCGTGAGAAGTAACAGGTTGAACACTAGTCCAAGGACATAGCTCTGGTGGATATTGGACTTTGGTTCGAATCTGTTGCCTTGAGGTACCCAATGAATGGTGGCCCAGAACTACCATATACTTAATATTTTAAATGCCTTCCTTGATCATTATGACATGTATGAATCTGGTAGGCATGGCTCTGCTGGTGTGAGTGAATATTATCACCAGCCCTCGCTATTTGTGTGCAGTCACTTAAGTATTTAAGTAAGTCAAGAATGAATGAATTGCAGTTCATAGATGGCCTATACTCATATAGCATCCTTTCCTCAACAGTGCTTTAAATTCTAAACCACGGGCTAAACTAATGACATGATCAATGCTGAATGGTTACACGTTACATTTTTAACTGCAAGGTCAGCAGTTGGAAACCACCAGCGAGCTCTACAGGGAAAAGTTGAAGCATTATACTTCTGTGAAGATGTTCAGGCTCAAAAACTCACAGTGGCAGATCACTGAAGAAAGGGGTGCTATAGCAAAGTGTAGTGAAGAAACTAGATGTTACTTGGCTATCAGAAGAGTCTTAAAGATTTTTCAAACCAGCAGCTATTTAAGTGAGGCATCAACTAAGTCCACATGGAAGAAGCACACCCAGCTGTGTGATCAAAGGATTGTAAATAATATAAACTAAATAAGAAGGAAGGAATGGTATCAGAACTTAAATTGTGAACACTTGGTTTTGTAGAAGGCTATGAATGAAAGTGGAAGTCCAAAATCCATTTCAGGGTCCACACATGCATTACTCCTCCAGTGACTCCCCTCTGATGATGGTTGAGGGATGTGAATAGCCCTGTTATCAGACAGAGTATTGTAAAATCAATGATGACAGATGTACTTAGGTCAAAATGTAAGAGCTTATCACTTAATCTTCCTTTTGACCCATTTTAAAGCTGTTCAGTTAAAAAATAAATAAAATAAAAAGGGAAGGGGAAATACACATGGATTAAACCCAGGGTGAACCCTCTGTGACCATGCACCAGGATGTGAATAATTTTACTATCATCTAGAATGCATTGGAAAGTAGGTTGTTGCAGGTGCAATTAGGTTAAAATTTAGCACCCTCTCATTTTATCTCTGTTATGATCCATTTAAATTTGTGCTGGCTTTTAGTATTTTCTGTTTTCTTTAGGACTGAGGTTTTTATCTTTTTCATTTAGTTAATTGTGTTAGGTTTTGTTTGTTTGCTTGTTTTCTTAGTGTTTTTCTGTACATGAAATCCAGGATTGGTAAATCTATAGAGAGAGTCACTGGATAAATGGTTCCTTGTGGTATGGTCAGGGCGGCTGGGGGGAAATGGGGAGCTAATAATGATGAGTACAAGAATGAAGAAAATGTTCTGAAACACTTAGCTATATATGTTTATGTGTGTATGCCTCAGCACAAACACGGAGGGAAATACTTACTGAGCAGTTAGACAAGCTTTCAGTGTAGAATTTTCTTTCCGGCATTTCACTACCATGAGGATCCCGGAATCCTTGCAACATTTGGTAAAATCTGAAACAAAAAAATTTGGGAGAAAAAAATACCACCACTGTTAAGTCGATCAATAAAATTAGAATTCATTCAAATACCTACGATCTAGATTGTAGATGATTTCTAGCAGAGAAAAGTATAGTCCGGGCATGAGTGAGAAGAATAAAAGGAGAAATCTGCTCCCAGTCACTGTTCAATCTCTGTATGTCGTCTGAGCACATGTGACAGCTGCTGGATCCCAACCCAGTGACACACAGCACCCCTTTTCTTTGAGATAACCTCACTGATAACAGGGCACTTGCTTCACTCTCTGCTCAGCTCTGAGAGGCCCCAGAAATTTCAAATGGCTTTCTGTCAATTTTCTGTTCTCATGATTTGTCTCTCGATCGACTGGACCTTTTGGTATCCTGTCCACTGAGGACAACACCAACTCAGAACACACTGATGCCATAGTCAACCAACAGCTGGCCCATTTATGTGTGATTTTACTGAAACATAGTACATACACATCTATAAAATTTTAAGCCAAAAAAAAAAATCCAAAACAAAACAATGGCGATTTGTTAAGTGCAGCAACATTCACTCAGTGTGCTTTTCTGAGTCAACAGCACTACAGCATAGACATGTGTCTCTATCTGCAGCCTCGCCATACTTGGAAGGACAAGTGGCAGAACAGCAGGGGAATGAACAAGAATGAGAACATAGGATAGAGGAAATGACGAAACAATTTAATCTTCATGGTCATATTGTCAATGACATGTAATAGTCCCCTTCAAGGGCATGCATGGTTAGCCTCCTTTAGCCCTTTGCTCAACTAGGCTCCACACTTGTATCATTTCTTCTTTGATTCCCAGTTCAGCTTGTTGGAGTGTTACAAATTGAATTGTGTCCCTGTCACTTCTGAGTGATAAAAAGATCGGATAGACACCAAGTTAAGGATTGTCTACAGGTCAAGGAATGGCCAGAAATCACGGTCTGGGCAGAGCTACCAATAACAAAGGAACTGGCAGGCCAAGACCCTGACTTAAGACAATTAGCCTCTCATAGAAATATGAGAACATTAGCTTCTACTTTTTTGCAAAGCCATTTGTGTATGGCGTTTTTGTTACAGCAGCACTAGGTAACTAAGACAGACTGATCCTAATCAGGTGTCTTCATTCTTCCCACTGTGCACATAAACTGGACACATAGGCAAAATCTTCCCAAGGGAATTTCCTTTGCACTCCTCCTTAAGGACACTCTAGAACTCAAAAAGTCGGTACCGTCGTATAGCCAGCTCTTCGTAAACTGATACAGTGGGTGGAGGCCACATGGCTATCACAGTCCGTTAACCTTCTCTCAGAAATGCCAATTTATTCATGCACATTAATGTTTGTTATGTATATATGAGAATTATGATCTCAAGTGAAAATGAGAGCATGGGTAATATTCAAAAGTGGCACATGCATAAAAATAATCTGAACTTGGCCTATCTGGTTAAAGCCTTCTTAAAAGAAAAGCATCATGTTCAGCAGTAGTGAGGAAGGATGGACTAATTTCTCTTGTAATCGCACTATCCCACCCTAAGACTGATTTGCTCAATGTCTAGAAGAGAACAATTCCTCATCAAATCCCCCAGTCATTTTTCTGGAAAATACACATTTAATGGACATAATCAAAAGTTCACCTTATGAACTAACAAATACAATAGTTTAACTCTAGAAAATTAACAATAGATTTCTTAGGTATTGTTTTATTTGAAGATTATTTCTTGTAAAATAAAAATGGCCATAATAAAAAGCAGAAGGGAGACAGCTCTTATAGGCACTGAAGACAATGAAGGCAAAGTCTATATGTGTTCACACTTGTCCGAATCTCTCCAGGAATAGCTGTGATTGGCCTCAAGCCTCACACTGTTTGTAAAGCTTTTGTCACTTGTTAAGCAACAAGATTTTAATGAGGATCTTTCTTTCAAACCACATTAGCATACATTCATATAAAAGTGATGCTGCTAATATTGTCGACTGATTCTGAAATGGTATTGGGAAACAAATCCAGATAAAGCTGCTTCAATCTTTCAATATTATGTTAACTGTTGAGGATTGCACACCTTATTCTCTTTCTAAATGCTTGTATTACAATAAAGATGATGAAAAGTAAAATTTCATTTACCTATGTATGTCTTATAGTAATGCAACTAAGTATCAATAAACAGTGAGACTAACAGAATGCAGTGAAATTGTTAAATTATTCTAAGATTTCAATGTACTTAAAGACAGCAGTGAGGATTTTTCATTAAAATTTCAAGAACATGAGGAAAAGAGCCAATAACAAAAGAAAAAAAATTCACAATTCAGCATAATGAAAAACTTTTGTGCATCAAGACACTGTATCAAGAATGAAAAAGGGTAACTCACAAAAAGGGAAAAATACGTGGAAATACCAATACTTAATGCTACCACTGGGCTGTCAGGCCATGGACATGTGTCTGCTTGTTAACACAATGCTGGAATTTATGTCCCAATTATTTCAAATAGCAACAGGGTCACTACTTTCAGCTGGGCTTCCAAACTAAGTACAGATTAAAAAGAAGAAATAAACTGTCAACTTCTGCGGGATTAGACACTGAAAACCTTATGACAGCAGGGAAACATTGTCTGAGTAGTGCCAGAAGATGAGCCCCGCCTGTTAGAAAACCCAAACTAAACTCACTGCACGAAGCCAATGCCAACTCTTGGTGACCCTATAAGCCAGGGTAGAACTGCCCCTGTAGGTTTCTGAGACTGTGACTCTTTATGGGAGTAGAAAGCCCCATCTTTCTCCTAAGGAGCAGCTGGTGGCTTCAAACTGCTGACCTTTTGGACCACAGTCCAATGTATAACCACTATGCCATGTGGCCTCAAGTTGGAAAGCTCTGAAAATGTGAGTGGGGCAGTGCTCTCCTCAAAATAAAGTCAAGCTTAAGGATGCATACTAAGTAAAGCTTTCTTGATCTTCCTTTGATGTGGCCACTCAAAATGAAGATAAATAGCTGCAAACATCCATCGATAATCAGAACGCGGGATGTACAAACTATGACTTTAAGAAGACTAGAAATCTCTCAAAGTAAAGTGGAATACATAAAGACTGATCCCTGGGTACTAGTGAGTAGACTCGACTGGTGTCGGCCATTGTGAGTCAGACAGTCATATGGTCTACTATGCCAAGAGTGAAAAATTAAAGCGGAATTAATCACATTCACTGTCAAGAACATTTAAAGATCTATCATGAAGTACAATGCTTTCTGTGATAGGATACAATCTATATGAATACAAGGAAGTCTAGTTAGTAGAACTATATTAATTCAAATTTATGCATCAACCACTGAAAATAGTGATGAAAAAATGGAAAATTCTAACAATTTGTTCAGTCTGAAGTTGATCACACATGCACTCAAGGTGTATTGATAATTACTGGTGATTAGAATACAAAAGTTGGCCTTAGTGATCTTTCCTTAAACAGCAAAGTATTTGTCAATGTCTGTTTTTCCTAAGATTACACAAAGCAAAGATATATTTGGATACCAATATGATTCAGAATTTTAACATAAAACCTCTATGTAATATTTCTGTGTAATAATATAGCATCATCTTAATGCTCTCATGTTTAACGTTGGACCCTCAATTTAAATGAAAGGCGTTTAGTAATTCCTATTTATTAAAGACAGGAAATAGGGTAGATATAAAAATATCCCTCTGTTCATCAGTACCCAACTGCTTCCTACATAAGAAGGAAAAAGAGATGTGTATAATATTATAGATCGTTAGATCAGTTATTGAATCATAAAAGGTTTTAAAAATAGATGCCTGAAAATATTTTAGGGTGGAACTCGTTAAGTCCCAATTTTTAGTAAAACTTCCTGTAAACACATGTATTTTAAATTTGTAGTATACAATAACAAAATTAATCTGACTTTTCATGAAACGCTATCTAGACCAATGCCCAAGTGCTGTTCGGTCTCAGGAATCCCACCCTTGTGGAAGCAGTGAAGTACAAAGTTCCTAAGACTATGGGAGGGCATGCTCAGTGCTGAGCGCACCAGCTTCAAAAACAGTGGTGACGGTCTGAGCCAGGGCACAGACAGGGAAGACAGCAGTTTGTCTTCCTCTCTCTAATAAGTATCTGGCCGAAGGGAGCCAAAGCCACACGGACAGAGAGCACACGGCGGCGGATAATGAAAAGGAATGAACAGTATTTCATGAAGCTCATGAACAGTACTAACTGGATGTACGTTAGTTCATAAGAAGCAGTGGTGAAACTGAGGATCAGTGATTTCAGTAGTGAGTTTTGGAAAGAATTCAACTCAATCTACAAAGCCTGATATCATAGAAAATCCCATAATCAAGCTACCTCTCCCCCAACCCTTCCCTCCCTCCCAGCTTCCCATTTTGCCTTCCTGATTCACCCACCAGCAGCTGCCTGAGTCTAGGGGCTTCTGGACAGCATCTGACCTGTGTCCTTGAGTTGGACTGAGCTAAGCAGCTTCCTTGAAATAAATTTCCTTCCTGATATACCATTCTTTCTTTTATACGTGTCATTAACTTTGTTTCTCGTGAAAGCCAGCCTAATACAAGACGCCACCTGTAAGACGGCAGATAGAGATCACCACGCCATGCTGTTTCTGGACTATTGAAGAAGACATCCATTTCTACCTAATTTTTAATTACAAAAGACAAAAAAAGATCACATTCCAGCCATTGTGACAGCAATGAAAATAATAACGTGTAATGTTTGTGGCTCTGTGTGCCAGATTTCATATATATTAACTGAGTCAATAAATTAAAATATCTAATTTTTGTCACCTGTCACTTTAGTCCTTATCCAGAGACTCATAAAACATTCATTCATTCAACAAAACTTTAAAAGTACTACATGCCGTTGAGTTGACTCAAATTCAGTGACCCTCCCTGACAGAAAAGAACTTCCCCCAGGGGCTCCCTGGGCTGTCATATTTATGGGAGCAGATCTCCTACAGAGCTGTCATCAGGTGCAAGCCACTGACC